TAAACCAGATACATTGCCCCCAGTGGAAGAGAGTGACAGGCGGGGAAGGTAAGGGAAGTACTGCGGGTAGGCAGTGAAGACGAGGCAGCGTTACTGCGCTGTAAAAGCTAAGAAGGGGATTGAAAGAAAGGTGAGACGAAACTCAAAGATAGACTGAGAGAAATGTGCAAATTCGGGGGAGAATTTGAAATAAAAATATAATTTTCCAGATTATATACAGTCTGATAAGGCAGCGATTATTTAATGCAAATCATGTCCCTAACAGGTACTTCAGAAAAAAATTGTCTGAACAAAAACCTCTCATGTGTGGACGTCTCTTCTTAGCAGTATTTTTGTCGATGCGAACATTTCTGTTTTTTTAGTCTATAACGGACACGTCTCCTTAACGTATTTATTAAGTCCCTAGCTTTGTCATTGTAGAGACTTTTCACTTTATAAGGATTAAGTTGATTGGTAAAGATTATAGGAATGGATGACAAAAGAAATAAGTGCGACAAACAGCGAGGTGTTAGAAGAAATTACGGAACCCTACAACGTCAGTAGCCGACAGAATGACAATAACAATAACACTTCAATATGGCATAATATTCTGAGTCCCAATCAGCTGACGCATGTACTGTCGTAACTAGGTGTATACAATTTTTCGACTCTCAAAATTGTCGTTTTTAAGAGTTCTCACTAGGAAATAAAGTATTTTACTTTTTTCTGGCATTTTAAGTAACGCCATAAGTCATTTTCTATGGTCTGGCCTAACATAACGCACAATGTTTACAACACGACATTTGAGGTTTTGCTACGAATCCCATGCGTTATTCCTTGTGACATTTCAAGTAGGCAATAAAGCGACAGTACTAGACGGCTTCCATGCATGATCAATAGAAACTGCTATAGAACCACATCAAAGCTATGTCACGAAATATTAGTTGCGAATTTTGAACGAATTTGTCGTGACTGAACGCAATGTTAAAGAGAAAAATGCATACACGCATGGATGAGCAAAACTACAAGTGCACCTTTTCAGCAAGCGGCCAAGTGTCACTTGCGAATATCCATATGTGGGAAGAGGGGTGAGATGTGCGCTGTGGGATGCGAGAAGACGCAGCGAATCGGAAAGGAACTAGAGCATTGTGACGCCTGGTCTTGAGAAGCTCGGGGCAAGCTCGGGGCGAGCACGGAGCGTGCACGGAGCGTGCACGGAGCGTGCACG